GAGGCAATATTAGAATTCTATTGTAATTCCTAGGCTTTGAATGGTAATCTCTGTATTCTGCAGATGCTATTTCTTGGCAGTTTCATCCTTCATAGTCATAGAGGTAGGTCAGACTTCTAAATCAAAAAATTTTCTTTCTTCCTCTGACAAGAAAGATAATTGTACATTGAAAATTCTATCAAGCTCGCTATCTTTCTTAATTTCGTGGTCAGGTTTTATTATTTTAAGTGGCTTTTAAGTTTACACATTATAGTAGTACTATTATTATTAGAGGAAAAGTAGGGATGACATTGACCAAGACCTTCCATTTTGGCTTTTATGTAAATATCTCTTTAACTTGGAACAAATAAACCGATCTCATCTCCTCCCAATTCCCTTCCAGTTTTCCTCCATAACTCTCACAAATGGAATTGTTTCCCCAACCCATTTTTTCATCTGCTTTTGTGTGCATCATCGCCATCACCATCTTCTCCATCTTGCTGCTTCTCCCACCATCATACAGCGATCCCTTGGATGAGTTCTTTGAGTGCAACCGTTCTGATTTCTTTGATTGTGGCCGTCTAGGACCCTTTCGTTATCCTTTTTGGAACGACAGCACTCCGAAGTATTGTCGTTCGCTTGGATTACACTTGACAAACTGCGAAATGTATCCCACCATAGACTTTGGCCCAGATAATTCATTCTTACTGCTGCACAGAAACCTATCAAATTACATATTGACGATTGCTCCAACTGATATAGACTCATATATTTGTCGCGAGATAACACAACACCAAACTCTGTCGCACCCTTATTTGAAATTATCCGAAACCAACAAAATCCTCACTCTGTTCTATGGCTGTCCTCCACCTACTGAGGTACCGTACGACAATAAGAATTTGGAGTGCGAACCTGGACCTAAAACACCATTCTACATGAATGATTCGGAGACGAATGATCATTACAAAGAGCACCACAAGTGCGGTACTGTGAAAGTTGCGATTAATCAGATGGGTTTCAATATCCTGGAGAAGAAAATGGGATTGAAATTCGCTTTGAGTCATGGTTTTGATGTGGAGTACAACATTAGTGCGGATTTATGTGATCGGTGTGAGAATTTGGATGGGATATGCGAAATCAGTTCAAATTCAGTTCAGTATCTACAAACAACATGCAGGCGTCGTCCAGGTATGAATTGTCTATGCAAAACCATTTGTTTTTAATTTGGTGTAGAGCTTACGGCTTAGAATTATTCTGTTTGGCATTTGCATTCAATACACAACTGAATCAATAACATAGCTTCTTGGAAACTCACTGCTTGACATTGTTCTGCTCTTCTTTGAACAAGTCAACGTGACTAGCAGTTTTGGTTGACTGTACTTTTAAAATTAGCCCATTGGTGCAAAAATTGAAAATTTGAAATGACAATTTGCCCCACGCCCACGATCCCCCTCGCTGGTTTTTCACCCAATTGGGTAGCGGCCTAGTAAAATTGGCTGGAGCAGAGATGACTGAGGGAGTGAACGCCTCTCCCACCAAGTGAATGAAAGTTGAAACTATAGTGTTTTTTAAAAGGGGGAAAAATCTATGAAAAGTTTTCTGGGGCACGGGTTCCTTGAGGGAACTTATGCCTTGAGTACTAGGCTAGGAAGTAGGAAGGGCTCCTTGAAAGAACTTATGCCTTCAGGTAGACTTGGCAGGGGTTGCTCGAGGGAACTTATGCTTTGAATAGGCTTGCTTTGCTTGCAAAAGGTTTTGTGAGTTCAAGCTTGAATCTTGAATTTAAATTTGATTCAAGTGACTTGATTAAATTATTTAAATTTGACATGAAACTTAGTAATTTAATTAATTTCATTATCTATCTTGAATTAAAACTTATTATTAAGTTTAGATTATTATATTATTTATTTAGATAACTATAATGTAATAATTATTTTCACATTAGTATGTATATATAATTGAATAATCAGCTTGGGTGCTTTGGAGGCCGAACATCTCCAAACTTGATGTTCGACTCAAAAAGTTACATAAGTTCAAGTAAGCATCGAGCTCTATTCTTGTCAACTGTTTGTCTCGTTTGCAATCCTACCATGGGGGGTGAAGGGATTAACCACTGCCCCATCCTATTGCCATAACGCCATCCCTAGTTTAGCCATGAGGTTGGACTTCAAGGGTGTGGTGTCAACTTATTCCCAGTAGATTGTCAACCTACGTCAAGGCTGCTGCGCCCTAAGAACTGTAGTTTCAATCTAGGCCTAGGCCAAAGGTTCAACTGTGAGAAAGACCTTGGACTTCAACACTGGTTTGATCTCTGAGGATAATGAAAACTTATAGATGATAATTAGTATCAAAATAATTAAACTCGTTCCAAGTTTATTTGATGATGAGTTTAGATGAACAATTAAATTAAAAAATAAATAAATAAACTTTTTTTCTTATTTTCTCTTTAAAATTTTTAATAAATAAATAATTTTTTTTTCCTCTTTCCTTTATTCCTCTCAATTCAGTCTAACTGAATTCAATAGAATATAATTCAAACCTTCACAGAGTCTGAGTCAATAACTTGTAATTCCGGTCGATGATGATATATATCAAGGCTTGTTTCTTAAAAAACAAGTTGTCCCATCTTAAATTACCATTTTTAGTTCTGATTTTTATAGCTTTTAGCCCCTGCAGTTTTCCCATTCGCTCATCATCCATTCCTCTGAATTATCCGTTCCATCTTCCCATCTCAAACTTTGTTCTTAGCAACCCTTCTCCTCCTCCTAGTGCTCTTTCCGAGCACCACTTGCGGGGTAGATGAGCGGTTCTCCAGTTGTTCTTCTTCAGTCAAATTTGGGAAGCTCAGTTCCATTGGTTATCCTTCTTGGAAGAATGACCAACCTGATTACTGTGGCCAGCCGGGTTTCAAACTTGAAGATTGCAAACAAGAAGACATCACCATAACCATACTCCCCCGGATGTATCATGTCCTGGACATCAATCAGGACACCCAAATTCTAAAATTACAATGATGGATTTCTCCAAAAGCATCTGTCCGGACATATTTCTTAACACCTCCATGGACTCCGGTCTCTTCAGTTACACCTTAACGACAAAAAAGCCACCATATTATACGACTGTGCCGCAGCAAGTGATCCAAATAAGCAGTCCAAAGATCAATTCCGCTGCCCAGTTGATAAAATCCTCCGTGATGCTTACTTTGTATCTCCAAATACAAGGTTGGGAAATGAAGAGTTCAGGAGATCATGCAATATCAGTGCTGTGATTCCTGTAATGAAGACGGCGGTCAAAAGGTTTGTGAATCATGGATTGAGTGTTGGTGAAGTTGTAAATCAAGGGTTTGAAGTTAAGCGGAATGTGGAGGCAGAGCAATGTAGGAGTTGCCTCAAGACAGGTGGGAGCTGTGGGTTTAACTCGACTTTTAACCAATTTAGATGCTTTTGTGATGGTGGGGATTTCTGTCCTTCTCGGATGCCAGTTGTTCCAGCAAGCCAGTTCGATACTCCGGGCGCTCCGCCTGTTCCTGATCCTATACCTACCCCTGCTATGTGTTTTGTACCTTGATTTTCATAGTCTATTACACGTTTGATACAATGATCCAGAGAAGGGTCCTACGTGACCTTTTCCTTGATGGGATAGGTGTTAGTCTGCATAAATGATAATTTAGCCTAAAAATTAAATATAAGTCAATATAAGATTGAGGGAAATTACTTATTTCTTACCTAGTTACATTTTTTTATGTTATCAATTGCTTGTTTTGTTTTTGGTCAAATGAGAATGAGTAGCCTTAGAGGTTATATGAAATTTGAGTTATTTCTATTTCTGCTATATATTCTTTTTATTTAAGTAGGCAAGTACCATAAGAAGTGTGCCCTTTAGTTACCAATTCTTCCTTGGCTCCTAGGGACTTTAATCTCTCTACTATTGAACCATTTTAAGTTCTAACAGATTACTTGAGAATTTTATCTCGTCATGTTGAGGGTTAAATTTAGCTTGATTCATCATTTGAATCCTTAGAGATCAACCATGAATCATTAGGTCGGTGAACTCAGTAAGTTTTTTTGCATTGGATGGCTGTTCCATTCATAAGCCATGTTAAAGATGGTTTGAGATGTTGGAGGGTATGAGATTTTCTATTCTGGTTGAAGAAAGCCAAAGAAAGGAGAAGGATTTCAAGAATACTGAATTGTATTCCACTATGTTGTTTCTGTACAAGGCATCTGTATATATATATCTATACAGGTGTAAATGCAGATCCTAAATATATGCCTAAACTTATGTACAGAAGCGTTGCTTTTAAATGTTGCCCAATCTTTGTGATTTATGATCAATAGTTTCCTCGTTCTGATATTCTTGACCGTTGCTTAATCTCTTTATTCTGTGATCAATAGTTTCCTTCTTCTGATATCTTGTTTCCTTACTTGGTTCTGGATTGACTTTGTTTGCTCTGATGTATCCTTCACACTGGTAAATCTTACATGTCAGCAATGATCAGCACCCAGCACCAGCAGCCATTGATATTCAAATTTCAAACCAGAATTTCCAAATTATGATTGAAGTCAACCATTTTCTCTTTCTTGCACGGATGAAAATTCTAATAATTTGAAAGTATCATTCTTTTTCAAAACAAGTAGCCTGTTATATCGAGCAACAATATATAAAACCACACCATTGCTTCTATTTCTTCGACAATCTAATAACAATCCCCCTCCACTGCCATCATCCTTTTGCCAGTTCTTCTCTCCATGATATCCACTTCAAATGGATGCCTACTTTTTCCTCCACTCTATTTTCATTACCATCTTCATCCTCTTGATTTGTACCTCCATAGCTTACTGTAATGATGATGATGATGATTATCATCAGTATCTGTCATGCAATAGCACCTACAATTGTGGAATCTTAAAAGACATAGGCTACCCTTTTTGGGGCAATGGCCGGTCCCAATTCTGTGGCTACCAAGGGTTTGAACTCCTTTGTGAAGAAGGGCAGTACTCCACAGCGGATATTGGTGGACAGAAGTTTCGAGTACTGGATATAAGTCGTTCAGCTGCTGCAATAATGACCATAGCTCCTGTAGGGATATGGGGACAAGATGCTTGTCCTGTGAAATTCATCAACATCTCCTTGAGCCAAAGCCTTTTCACGTTAGCTCCATCTGCTCAGAACCTCAGCTTCTTCTACGGCTGCCCTCCACAGACGGATCACATACCTGTTCGGAACAAATTTAACTGCACCATCAATGGCAGTTTGCAGGATGCTTATTTTGTAGACGAATCGCTGTTGAGGATTAATCCTCCCAACCTTACAAAGTGTAACATCAGCATCTCTCTTCCTGTGAATCAGATGGCTATTGAGGAGCTGTTGATTGGAAATGAGGGTGTGGGTATTACTCTGAATAAAGGATTTGATGTACAGTATACCTCAGTTATCATTAACTGTTCTGCCTGCCAGAATTCAGATGGGAGATGTGGATCAAACTTTCCATCGCTTGAGTTCTTATGCTTCTGCCCTGACCAACCTTACCCTCGAATGTGTCTCAAACCTGGTACGCATGTTTATTCTTTTCACATTAACAAGATGTTTCTCTTCATTGTTTTCCTCTGTGGTTCTTGATCTTAAACATCCTAAAGGAACTGTTCTAACTTAGGAAATTCAAAATTTTGACATTTAAAACTCAACTTACCTTCATAATCTTAGGATTTGACTAGTTAGGTGGGTTTTAATTCTAGTTCAAGTTATTAACTGGTGAATGTTTTTTCTTGAACTAGATAGACAGACTTAATTCGAGTTCGAGTTTTGGTTGTATCATAGGTTTGTAAAACAGAATTTGAGGCAATATTAGAATTCTATTGTAATTCTTAGACTTTGAATGGTGTTCTCTGTATTCTGCAGATGTTATTTCTTGGCAGTTTCATCCTTCATAGTCATAGAGGTAGGTCAAACTTCTAAATCAAATTGTTATCTTTCTTCCTCTGACAAGAAAGATAATTGTACATTGAAAATTCTATGAAGCTCGCTGTCTTTCTTAATTTCTTGGTCAAGTTTCAATATTCTAGGTAGCTTTTAAGTTTTCACATTATAATAGTACTATTATTATCAGAGGAAAAGGAGGGATGACATTGACCAAGACCTTCCATCTGGCTTTATGTAAATATCTCTTTAACTTGAAACAAATAAACCCATCTCATCATCTCCTACCAATTCCTTTCTAGTTTTCTTCCATAGCTCCCTCAAATGGAAATGCTTCCCCAACCCCTTTTTTCATCCACTTTTGTGTGCATCATCACCATCTCCATCTTGCTTCTTCTCCCACTATCATACAGCGATCCCTTGGATGAGTTCCTAAAGTGTAACCTTTCTGCTTCCTTCAAGTGCGGCAGCCGTGGAACCCTTTCCTATCCTTTTTGGAGCGACAAAACTCCGGAGGATTGTCATCCGCTAGGAATATTCCAGGTGGAAGACTGCGAAGAAGATGCTCCCACCATAGACTTTGGCCCAGATGGTTCATTCCTCCTGCAGGACGCAAACTCAGCAGATTACACATTGACGATTGCTTCAACGTATTTAAAGGCTTATATTTGTCCCGAGACACCACAAAACAAAACTCTGCAGTCCCCTTTCTTGAAATTCTCTCAAACCAACAAAATCCTCACTCTGTTCTATAACTGTACTCCACCTCAGTTGGTACCGCCCGAAGATAAGATTAATGATTGCGGACCCAACGAACCCTTCTTCCTGCCTGGTTGGGGGGAACCTGGGAACGATGATCGTTACAATTGCAGTACTATGGAAGTTACGGTTAATCAGACGGTTTTCGACAGAGTCCAGGAGGGGAACCTGACATTGGATGATGCGTTGAGACAATTTTGGTTTGATGTGGAGTGCAACCGTGATGCGGTTTTCTGTCATCAATGTGAGAGTTTAGGTGGGAAATGCGAAAGCAATTGGAGTCCAGATCAGCATCTAGAAACAAAGTCATGCCAGCATCAAGGTATGGATTATCTATGCAAAACCATTTGTTTTTAATTTGGTGTAGTGCTTACGGCTTAGGATTATTCTGTTCTGGCAATGCGCATTCAATACCCAATTGAGTCTATCCTATAGCTTCGTGGAAACTCACTGCTTGACATTGTTCTGGTCTACTTTGAACAAGTCAACGTGACTAGCAGCTTTGGTTGACTGGACTTTTCAACTTAACCCATTGGTGCAAAATTGAACTGACAATTTGCCCCCACGCCCATGATCCTCCTCGCTGGTTTTTTCACCCAATTGGGTGGCGACATAGTAAAATTGGCTGGAGTAGAGATGACTGGGGGAGTAAGTGCTTCGCCCTCTAAGTGAATGAAAGTTGAAACTACAATATTTTTTAGAAGGGAAAAAAAATTTACAGAAAGTTTTTTGGGCCACGGGTTGCTTGAGGGAACTTATGCCTTGAGCACTAGGCTAGGAAGTAGGAACGGGTTCCTTGAGACAACTTATGCCTTGGGTAGCTTGGCACGGGTTGCACAAGGGAACTTGTGCCTTGAGTAGGCTTGCTTGCAAAAGCTTTTGCGAGTTCAAGCTTGAAGCTTGGTTTGACTTCGAGTTTGATTGAAGTGACTCGGTTAAATTATTTGTGTTTGACATGAAACGTAGTACTTTAATCAACTTCATTATCAAGCTTGAATTAAAACTTGTTATTAAATTTAGATTATTATATAAGGATACTGTAGGGTATGTTGTCTTTTTAACTTTTTTTTTAAAGGACTTATCTAAAAAATTATTTTCTAGTTAATATTTTTAAAATTGATTATTGAATTGAATGTTTGGTTTATATAGATTATAAATATTAATTTTTATATTAATTTAACAATTAAACTCTTTGATAAAAGAATTTTATTTATTAATATATATTTAATAGTGTTAATATTTTTATAATTAACAAACTAATTAACTCTATTAGAATAATTTAAAAATTGATATACATGATTTATATAAATAAAACTTTCAATTAATGGTTGATTTTTGAAAATATAATTAAAAGCTGAATTTTTAGATAGATTCTCTAAAAAATATTTAAGAAAATAACTTACAAAAACACTTTTTTTATTATATTATTTGTTTAGGTAAATAAAATATAATAATTATTTTCACATTAATATGTATATATAATTGAATCAGCTTGGGTGCTTTGGAGCCGAACATCACCAAACTTGATGTTCGACTCAAAAACTTACATGAGTTCAAGTAAGCATCGAGCTCTATTCTTGTCAATGGTTTGTCTCGTTTGCAATCCTACCTTGAAATTCCTTTCTAGTTTTCCTCCATAACTCCCACAAATGGAAATGCTTCCCCAACCCATTTTTTCATCCACTTTTGTGTGCATCATCACCATCTTCTCCATCTTGCTCCTTCTCCCACCATCATACAGCGATCCCTTGGATGAGTTCATAAAGTGTAACCGTTCTGCTTCCTTCGAGTGCGGCAGCCATGGAACCTTTTACTATCCTTTTTGGAACGACGAAACTCCGGAGCATTGTCATCCGCTTGG